CTTGGTAAAGGACAGAACATCTAGAAAGAAACTCCCTCCAACAAAGATACAGAAGATCTAAAGGCCACAATCAAATAACTTGACGTCATAGACATATATAGAACACTCCACCCAACAGCAGCAAAGTACAAGCTCTTTTCCAAAGCACGTGGAATGTTCTCCAGAATACGGCACATCTTAGGCCGCAAAGCAACCCTCAACAAAACCCAAAACATTGAGATAATACAAATCATCTTCTCTGATCACAATGCCATCAAAGTAGAAATTAATAACAGGAAGAGCAAGGAAAAAAATCAAATGCATGGAAAGTGAATAACACCTGGCTTAAAAACTACCGGGTAATAGAAGAAATCAAAGATGGAATCAAAAAATTTGTAGAATCAAATGAGAATGAAAACACATCATACCAAAACCTTTAGGACACAGCAAAGGCAGTGCTCAGAGATCAATTTATAGCAATAGATACACACATCAAAAAAGAAGAAAGTGACAAAATCAAAACATTAGCTATACAACTCGAACAAATAGAAAGAGAACAGCAAAAGAAGCCCACAGCCATGAGAAGAAAAGGAAATAATAAAGATCAGAGCAGAAATAAATGAAATAGAGAACAGAAAACGAATAGAATCAACAAAACCAAAAGCTGGTTCTTTGCAAGGATCAACGAAATCAACAAATCATTTGCCGGATTGACAAAAGAAAAACAGGAGAGGATGCAAATAACCCAAATAAGAAATGAAATGGGGGACACTACAACAGACTCAACTGAAATAAAAAGGATCATAACAGAGTACTATGATAAACTATACTGCAATAAATTTGAAAACCTAGAGTAAATGGACAAATTTCTAGAAACACACTACCTACCTAAACTGACACAAACTGAGGTTGAGAATCTACACAGACCCATAGCAGGAGAAGAGGTTGAAAAGGTAATTTAAAAAAAAAACAAAAAACTCCCAACAAAAAGCACTGGCCCAGATGGCTTCACTGGAGAATTCCACCAAGCATTCAGAGAAGAGCTTGAACCAGTACTACTCAAACTATTTCAGAACACAGAAAAGGAAGCGACACTTCCAAATTCATTCTATGAAGCCAGCATAACACTGATACGCAACCAGGCAAAGACACCACAAAAAAAGAAAATTACAGACCAATATCTCTCATGAATATAGATGCAAAAATTCTCAACAAAATTCTAGCCAATAGAATTCAGCATGAT